GGGTAAGTTAATATCTCGGGAACCACGGAGTCTAGGAGGCTGAAATTTTAGGGTAATAACCCCCTGGTCCCGCTCAACCCTGCCCATTCAAATTCAGCGTTCTCGCTCTCTCGGGCACCACCTACGGCCTTGTGAAAATTTCGGCGGGTAAACTATTAACTCGCGAATCATGCAAAGATATTCATCCTTCAAGGTTTTGAATTCAGCTTTCATGCGTTGGTGCGTGAAATTTTTAACTATTATCCAATTTTTGAACTATTTTTGCATAGACAAAAGTACAAAGCAGTGGAAATCATTAACAGGCAAACGTTCGATGGGCTGAATTGCACAAAACGCATGATCGCGGTGCGCGTTGCTATTTATATTTTTTTACAACATGTATGTACGAAAGTACGTATGTGTCTTGTTTAGTGGACAAATAAATGAAAAAAAAAAATCTTTGAGGGACGGCGGTGCTCGGAGATCAATTAAGTGATAATAACCATCTAAATGTAAGATTTTCGATAGGTCCCTCTTTTGAGTATTACTCTGGTACAGGCTGGTGGCGTTCTAACTTGCCGACACGCAAAAGTACCGCTAATTTGCCATCGAAATGTCGGTAAAGGGATTCGCCTGCTTCATTGCTGGAACCACTGACTTATAGCGTAAGAGAGATGCCAATAACCAAAATACTACGCCTGCCAACGCATACATAGTAATCCACAGAGAATGGACTTATAAAGGCACACAAATGCGTTAATCTGAACAGCATTCGAGGCCTAAACTGAACAGAGCGGGGAGGTGAGAGTTCATGAATTAAAAACAAACAGGCTACCAAGTCATTGCACATACAGGCTTGCTCATTTGGGGGATCTAAATGGCACTTTCAGTTTTTCATAAATTATCAAAATTCGATTGTGTTTCTCTCCACGGTGGGCCAGTAACGCCAAACAAACTGCATATGTTAATACATAGAAGATTTCAGGCCTCTGTTCTCTTCCAATCTCCCAGCCAGAAATATTCATTGTTTGTATTTTTAAAATTTCTAAAACACTTAGAAGATGGTCAAATTTCTCTTATGAGCGAACCATGGATCGTGCTGACATTCCTATGGTCAATATAACTAACTAGTATTTACAAACTCAAATGGGGAAGGGCAAATAATGTAAGTGGCTTACAGCATATGAAAAAAAAGTTAGCAATGGTTTAGAAGTATATTTTAGTAAATTTT